TCTGGTAACCCTGAATCTAAATCGTTCCCTGCGCCTAACTTTTCTAGGGCTTTTGAATGAGCTCGGAATCATTGAAATCAGAACAGTAGGAAAGGAGGACTTGCTTGGACACACACACACATAATCACATATGCACTGTACTTTATATATAAGATTTATTTACGTTTTCTTTCTGCTTTCCCTCACTATACGCCATTTCGTTGCCACGTGACCAAGATGGTGGGTGTTGAACTCTTTTCGACCTGCGCATGCTTCAGTCCTTCAGCTGACAATCGGACATACGCCCAAAATGTGTCGAGCCTCTCCGTCGACTGACACGTTGATCGGGGATTACACACTATTCAACACTGCCCTTCCCCCATTGCGCCAGTCAGCGATTTGATTCACACCTCATCTCCTATTCGTCCAGGTTCAGCTACCGTCTCTTTCCCATCGGCCACAATCGGCTCATATCTCAGGAGATTTTTCTTTAACACTGACTTCTCCACTTGGCACGATTTAAGTGATATGTTTTACTAAAATAAAATCCGACTTCCATTGTTTATATTCCCCACCCCCGACTCTCATTTACAGCTTTGGGTAGTGGTTGCTTTCTACACTTCCACCCCCATTAGACGGATACCCAAATCTCATGTTTTTATAATTTTATCTCATCCTCGTCGCCAAAATGTTTTAACCTAGGGAAGGTTACTGAATAGAATAATCACATGAAGGTTGGTAATGAACGATAATACTTAGGACAAGAACAACATATATAAGATTCGCCAGCAGCGCGTAGAATAAGTAGTTAACTGCTACAAGTGAGTCTACTGAATTCCACAAGAAATCTCCAACTCTAGGATATCTACGAACCACTCCACGCGGTCAGATGTAGCACAAGGCCGAATTTAATGTGGAGTATCCGAGCCCGTAAGCTCGGCCAAAAATTCCCTGTAGACCCCGTATAAAACGAGGTCGGGTAGCTGTTTCCCGAGACGAGACTCCACCCTTCGGCATAGCCTTGTATGTTGATCCTCTCTGCCCGGTATCAGAATGTTTGACCAGCACAGCTGAAGACGAATCTCCAACTCTAGACCCTGTACTGAATTCACTACTGTATTTGTGCGAATGTGGGCTTAACTATTAACCGTATATATGCTACAACACTCGTTCCACCTGTCTTACATTTCTGATTGTACCTTAGATCTAAACACGGTACTATGCTCCATAAGTACGTCTTCCACAGGAGATCTCTTTAAGAACATACCATTCAGGACTGTGAGCACTGTTTCCCCACTGACATCTCTGCAAACCCTCGTTCACACTCACAATCAATATATATTACTTTCTTGTAGTGCGTGGTCCAGGATAATTAGGCTGGTCCAGAATGGCAAGCTGCTAGTCAGAAGACGTCGTGGGTGTGGAATTCTGACAGCAATCGATTGGCTTTGTTTAATTTTTTATACTAGACCATAGGAGCAAAGACACTGCAACGGTCGTCCTGGGTATGACGCTGAACTACACCCGCGCACTGGGTAAGACGATAAATTACGTCCAGCAGTAAGGCCTCTGATCAGGAGGTTTTGAGGAGCGTGGAACCACCTCTTAATTGCTGGGGTGCCCAGGTCCACCCTGATCCGGGGTGGTAGCATCTGTTAGGATCCAAGCTTTGGGCAAATAGTTGACAACCACACTTGTGTAAAAATAGATTTTAATACCAGAAATACTTTGTAATAAAAAAAAGTATTACTAGCAATAATTTTTGAAGGAAAAATTATTATCAGCAATACTCAAAAAAAAAAATACCAGCAATACAAACAGTTATACATTCTTTGAAAAAATATGACCAGTTATGTTTCTTCAAGGAGAAATATTCCCAGAAATAGATTTTTGAAGAGAAACATGTTACCAGCATTTTTGTCGGCATTAAATAACCTATTGAGGTTGATATGCCGTAAACCAAACCAAACCAAACCAAATAGGAAATAAAATTTCAGAGTTTAGGTGGTGACTTGGCTCCGAATCACCCACGAGCAATTAACCGTTGCCTTCCCTCATACATTTTGAAAAAAATACCAGGTATACTTTTAAAAAAATATATACCAACAATAAAGATCTTGTCGGCATTAAATAACCCATTGAGGTTGATATGCCTTAAAACAAACCAAACCAAACACTGCACAAGCATTCAAAGGCAAGCATTCAAACTGCAAGCATTCAAACTGCAAGAATTCAAACTGCAAGCATTCAAAGGCTGGCATTCAAACTGCAAGCATTCAAAGGCTGGCATTCAAACTGCAAGCATTCAAAGGCAAGCATTCAAACTGCAAGCATTCAAACTGCAAGCATTCAAAGGCTAAACATGCCTCCTGCACCCAGATTTCTTAGTGAAATGGCGATTAAATTCTAGCCAAGTAGTTGACACGCGAACTTCCCTATCATCTTACTCTCGCTTATGAGAAATAAATGAGAGATAAAAAGAAAAAGAAAATTGTCCACCATTGATGCTGTCTATGAGGCAGCATTGGTGTCTGAAGCCAGAGACGACATGAAACGCAACAGTGAGTCAAATTTATCGCCAAGTTTATCTAGTCGTTTGTATTTAGTCCGACCACTTCTTCCATATATCCACTCGGCGCGAGAGTCAATCAGCCTGCATCTATCATAGCATTTTACCGTCTGGTAAGATATTGGTCTACCTTTCTAGTTAAAAATCAATGTCCTCTGTGTTCCGATATCTCGTACAACTTCTTCTGCTCCTCTCCAAACAACAATTGATATTTAGTCCTCTTATAGGATCTTCCATTACCCACACCGAGGCTTTTATCACTCACTTCTTAACACAAAACCAATTCGCTCATAATCCCCAAATGTGGCTAATTACTGACGTCACCCATGCGCTAACAATAGCCGAATCAGTTTTAATTTTAATATGTCTTACCCTCCACCTCAGTGCTATATTAAATTCTTTCATCACAGCATCAAATTCAGCCCGTTTAATATGAATATCATCGTCTTTTTTTCCTAGCTACGATACATTGTCCACTTTAACACTAGACACTTCCAAATCGACGCCCGTCACTAAGCTATCGGCATCGCAGAAAACGGCTCCCATTCCCTGTTTCGTGTGCACAAGACTTTCCGTCGACCGCATCATGGTAATCAGTCATTCAACCACTTAATCCACCTGTTCTCTTAATATAATGACATGTAATTCGATGCCACCCAGCTACAAGATAGTATCCTCCTAAGTTCCTGTACGCTGAAAATAACTTCTACTCAGGTCATCTTTCATTTGAAGAAACTCGCTCCTCCTCCAAAACACCTGTTTTCTTAAACTTCTTTGTTTTGTCTTGTTTTTTTTTTCTGCTATTTTTTTCTTCGTCTAAGCCAGAACACAGGACCCAATTCCAAAGAGTACTACCTTCAATAATGGAGCTATTTACAACATCTCTAGTTTTTAATTGATCCCCCATTCATCTTCGGATCTATTTCTCTGCAGCTAATCTTCATCTTCTTCTACCGACATCACTTTATTTATTCTTGGGATAAGAATAATCTCGAACAAAAAACAAAAAAATCAAATCAACATTCTCCACCATGTGATTAAAGACACTGGATTCAAAATAAACCATTCCAAATCAAATCCAAACCATTCCAAATCAAAAACTGTGGTCTGGAATTAGAATGAAAGCAGTGATGAAACAAAGGCTGAAACCATCATTTAGGATGAGGAATGAATAAATTTTTCCCGCAGTAGGTTGCCATTTCTTTCTGCGGTAGCCCACTTATCATCCAAGTCTATAGAACCCAGGCTGTCCTGCTATTTACCCATAGGTGGGGGGAGAAGAAGAGGATCCATACCTTTCCCAAGGTTATTAGCACGTAAATGAATTTAACGGATTTGACTGGAATTCGAACTCTGCTCTCCACCGCTGATTATTACAACTGGATGGAAATGCTCCCGTTGACTAAATTTCTCTAGAATTGTCTGCAACGCATTTGATACATGCCAACTTTATGCATGGAATCCTTGAATGTTTCTTAAAAGAAGTGTTTCTTAAACGATTCAGTGAATGAATCGCTCATATTTTATTCGCTGTTGTCCTTTACAAAAAAAAAAAATACAAGGATGTCGTAAAATGAACAATGCTCGGGCGGGAAAGTTTTTTTATTTAAAAAAAAAACAAACGGCGGGAAACTCCTCCCTCCTCGCCGGCTTCTATCCCACTAACCCTACCCCACCATGTGTTACCCCTTCACTCACCCACCCCGACACATTTTGCGCACCAATTACATTACACGTATATATCAACTCATTTACATCACAAGAAATGTGAAATGAAATAACTTCTTTTTTTTTTTTCAAAAGAAGAAAATAAAAAATATACGAAAAACTGTCTACTTCCTATCTTCTCCCGTGACGAAAACTGATTTATTCGGATACGTACGGAAATGTTATTATTGCATACAAACACGCACAAGCACACGTACATGTAGATTTAGATAGATAGATAGATAGATAGATAGATAGATAGATAGATAGATAGATAGATAGATAGATAATGGACTATATTAGATATAGATAGATAGAGATAGATAGATAGATAGATAGATAGATAGACTATATTAGATAGATAGATAGATAGAGATATAGATAGATAGATAGATAGAGATGAATGATAGATAGATAGATAGATGGATAGATAGATGGATAGATAGATGAGATGGATGGATAGATAATGGACTATAGATTAGATATGGATAGATAGATGAGATAGATAGATAGATAGATAATGATATTGGATGAATGATGGATGGATAGATAGATAGATAGATAGATAGATAGATAGATAGATAGATATGAATGAATATGGATGGATAGATATTAGATAGATGAATAATTGTATGGATAGATAGATACATAGATAGATAGATATATAATGGTCGGAAGATAATGGTCTATATTAGATAGATAGATAGATGGATGGATAGATGAATTAGATAGATAATGGTCTATATTAGATAGATAGATAGATCGGATAGATAGATAGATAAAGATAGATAGATAGATAAGTACTTTATACATACATACATACATATAGCGAGCGGAAGGGTTTGGTTTTGAATTATTAAAACGTAATCGGTCTGTAAAAGAAGCGTTCTCTATTCTTACAGGTATGGACTAACTGCTAAATCGAGTGACAGCTTTAAAAAGCCAAACATAAATTCTAATTTGCTCTCATTCTCATTATGGAATCAAATATAGCACTCGAATTCTTTGTCTTGCAATTTCAGTTTTTATTGCCGCTCAACATTAGTGCTCAAGTGCTTTTGTTTCGTTCATTTGCAATTCATGGCAGAGTATATAAGATTTACACTGATCATAATAATTCATAAATATCGCTGAAACGTTGATAGAAGACGTCATGCTTCCTCGTGGCCGACTGCATTCCTCCAAAAATTCTAGCGACGTTTGTTTTTATTTGTCCTCTTTTCCACTTATTTGTCTATTTTAACGTTTCTTTTTCCCCCCTCTCTTTTTCCGAGGCAGATTTTCGCAGTAATCAACTTCTGTGCCAAAGCAGCTTTTAACGATCGCCTCGTCGCCCCACTTCCAAAAGTAATTGTTTTCCTCATTTTTGGAACCTCCGTAATTTCCTCATCTCTACACCCAGAATAAAAGATTGGTTAGCAACTTAGCCACGATAGATTATTATTATTATTATTATTATTATTATTATTATTATTATTATTATTTCTTTTAATAATGTTCGCCCAAAGAAAGGCCCAAGAGGCTCTTAAGGTAGAGGCTTTCTGTGCGGTGTCGTATTAGCGTAAGAAAGGACGGGAAGTGAAGTTCTTGGAGCTATGCAGGAAAGATAACTGCTAAATTTAATTAGTGAATAAAATTTCAGAGTTCACGCGGGGACGTTACGAGTACAGAGTTGAAATAGACTTTAGAAGGATCCGGAAAAACAATCTTAAACAGAAAACAAGGGATAAACCTTCAACTCCTGTTCAAATGACCGGGGAGGTGCGTGAACCGGGCAATGGGTGAATCTATCTAATTCCATTTACTAGTGTGTTCAATCCACACGCGTTTCCCTATAAAAATAGGGAAATCCCATACCACAGTAAGTTTAGTAAATCCGAGATACCTTCGAAAGATAGAGACAGAAATATCTACTAATCTAACAGGTTTATTACGATACTAATAAAACAATGTGCATAAACATACCAGTAGTACTATGCCATTTTGGCATATAGTCTGGATTAGTATATTTGATCTATTGTTGCATAAGAGCATAAATAACCTTGGAGATGAATGGAGCATCAGAAGTCTGGAACCGCTCTTGCATTTCTGCTACAACAGCGCCGTAGAAGTGCTTTCCGGATAAATCTCAAAAAGCAGAGATGAAGAAGCCAAACCATGACTATCCGACCATATTATTGGTATCACACTTTCGTCAGAAGAGCGTTGTTGCACAGTATGATAATTCCATAACGGGTGTATTTCGACAACCAATTCCAGCAGTCTGTAGAGTATATCACGGAATCTGACAGCGTTAACTTCCTGGCCATACGACATGAAGGTCACGAGCATCATGCCTTTTGCAAGCAAAGAACATTTTTCAATGATTTGCGGACATAAACACAAAGTCTTATTTGTATGATTATAAATTTCTTGGATTAGTAAATTTGTTTAACTACTCACAACCACCTACATTGCTAATGATGGAGGACATATGTAAACTTAAATAACATTTCAATAAAACCTTAAAAAATATAGATTTACTTTCTTTCTAATCCTTTTTACAAACTATTTCTATCGCAAATACAAATAGTTATAAATTTTTAAAGGTGCACATGAACTTTATGGACACCCTGTATATATATATATATATATATATATATATATATATATATGTGTGTGTGTGTGTGTGTGTGTGTGTGTATATATATATATATATATATATATATATATATATATATATATCACACATTATGAAATGGACAAAAGTCCGACAATTATTTTAAGACATTTTTATGTTTATATATTCTTTTATAGATACAAATATTTATAATACAAATATGTATAAACATAAAAATGTCTTAAAATAATTATCGAACTTTGTCCATTTCATAATGTGTGACGTCATTTGTTTACATTTGGATACGCATTGAGCAGATATGAATGTACGTGAAAGAATCATAGAAGAATGTAGTTTAAAAACAGTAAAATTGACCTGGTTAACCGAACCATCCTCGGCACGTCAGGCTACATGACATTTCCGTATAGGATGCAGGTTCGATTCCTGTCGGAGGATGAATATTTTCTATGAAAGTTTCTCGGACATTCAGGCCGGTAAATGTCGTTAATACTGTTAATACAGTTTATTATAAACAGAGCATTTACTTAAAGATTTTAACTATAAAAAGAATGTATAAACATAAAAATGTCTTAAACTATATATATATATATATATATATATATATATATATATATATATATATATATATATATATATATCTCAATGAAAACAGACAACTGTCCATTGGTTTCTTTTCCTTGTCTCATCAGACCACACTTCCAAGGGGAAAAATTAATTTAAATTTACATAAAAATATATGTAAATTCAAATTCATTTTTTCAACCTGGGAAGCGTAGTCTGTTGATCCAGGGAAAAAGAAATTCCCTGGGGACCTCTAAATGTGCCTGCTGTCATTGAATTAATTGCTCTAATCTAACAATGAGTCTCTGGATTTCATCTTCCTTGGGATTATCCATGATTTTCATTACTTCAATATACTCGACTCTCCCCATCGAATTCGACGTATGAGGGTCAAGCAGATCAGTTCCTAGGAAACTGACAGCCTGACAACAGCACATGAGATTTGATTAAAGTGGTGAAGGTTTCGTGCAGGACCATCCACACTTTTTGAATGGCCGAATACAGAGACCTGCTGCACTATGTGCCACAAGGCCCCAAACGACCCTCCGCAGGTTTTGAATTCAGAGTTGTCCTTCTCCTAAACCAGGTGCCATCCAAAGCTATAGAACCCGGTCTGTCCTGCTATTTACCCATAGCTGGAGGGAGAAGAAGAGGATCCATACCTTTCCCAAGGGTATTAGCACGTAAATGAATCTAATGGAATTCGAACTCGGCTCTCTGATTCCTCAATCGATTTCCAGCAATGTAATTGACTGATCCATCCTTAAATATGACTACCGGGCATGAAGCTTCTATTCCTGCTAGGGTCTTACAGTGTTCTCAGTAGATGTGGCAATGTTGGGCGTCTTTTTTCAGTATCTGTTATATATATATATATATATATATATATATATATATATATATATATATATATACAAATTAAAAGAAATCAAGTTGTATAATATACAGGGTGAGATGAGCAAATTATCGCCATTTTATGATTTTTAATTTCGCGCATCCTCGTTGTTTCTTTTTGATCTTGTCGAGTGCACAGTACAGTAGGGTCAGTTGGGAACCATCTGTGAGAAAAAGAGCCCCAAGACACAATTCACTCCGCCATAAATTTGGAAACAGCATGCTGTAATGCTTGGCATTCGCACCAGGAGCTCCAATACGATCATTTCAGAGTGCTTGGGCGTCAATCTGAGGACAGTGCAGTGGGGTCGGAAAGAGTTGGATGAGTCTAATGGTGATTATGATGGTACGTGATCTCGGGGAATTCACTCTGATCGTTCTGATAAGAACTTCGAAGTTGTTGGTGAGGGCCTCAGACTTAACACAGAGGCCTACATCACGTGCTTTGGGGAGGTAGTGCTGGCCTGGGTCAAGAGAGTAACTGCTGAAAGACTCTATGTCTAGCAACATGACTCTGCACCATGCCACACAAGCAGGAAAAATCAGTAACAGCTGTCACATAATTTCTGCAACCACATCACCTCTTACATTTGGCCACTTAATTCCCTTGACTGAAATCTCCTTGATTATTATGTGTGGGGCGCTGTTGAAATTACGCTCAAATCTATATATATTATTCCAGGGTTCTTTTCCAACTTATTCCAGATGATCTTTGCCCTCTCTAACCTTCTAACTTTCCTTCCTGGAGTAACAAGGTGTCCCACAGTTTTCACACATGATTTCATTTTCAAGTCTTTTTGTCACTACTCTTGGATTGTCACAGCAGAAACTCCTCTAAAAGGTTTTATGGATTGAGTTGGATTTTTTCTAATTGATCTCTTTAGCTCTAGGTTAAAATGTTGAGCCCTCTTCAAGTTGTAATCTCCTGATCCAGTTTTCGTCTCTACTGTTCCCTCTTTTTTAAAGTTTTTCACCGTTCTCTTGATGGTTCTTGAATGGACTTTGAAAATGGAAGCGAGATTATTGTTGGTACCATTACTGAAAGCGTGAATGATCTTTTTCCTCTCACCATTGCTTATTTGGGAAGACAGTGGGGCTGACACAAAACTATTTTAACCTGTTCTCTTTCGAGCTGAATAACTCAAATGGTTTTTCAGTGATTCTTTGATAAATGGTGTCAAGATGTCTAAACGTCTTATCTGTAAACCTGGGTTGGGGGGAACTCAGTTTAGTGTCATTTTTAAATATTAAATATTTTGTGGGATAGACAATTATGCTGTTACACGATTTGAGTAATTTCGCTTTTACACCCGGTAGAAGAGGCGAAAAACTGATATAATCCAGTTGTATATTTTAGGTGATTTAAACATTATGATACTTTCAATGCATCTTTGTCGGAGTAAAAGTCATTTTTTATTGCAACAGTATTTTTCAGGGTTAATATTGTCAAGATGAAGGTTCCGGTGGCATACAGGTTCCTTTGATTTTCGGATAATACCGGAAACCTATGATATAAGGAGACCTGAACGAAAAACAATATTTTTTTTTTTAAAATAGACCATGCAAATACTGGGTGTGGCAAAAGTAACTCTCTTTTTTTCTTATTAAATCTATTGAACAAAAAAATTAAAATAGATTAAAGACATTTATAAGTATTGTCAGATCAAAAC